AATGTACCGGCAACTGCTTGCAAATCCCATTGGTTGGGCGGTTTTAAAGTCTCTGCTCAAATGTGGCATTACTTTAGCTGAAAGTTAAACATTCTAGGGCAGCGTGCTTCCATTGAGGATTAAATAAGTAGTTAGGTAATGAACTAATTTTTCCTGTACTAAATATTTTGTGCACACTTCGGGCTTGTTCAATTTGAACTTAGACAAGAAAAAATGCTGAACAGATGGAAAAATTGATTAAACGTCTGTAATTCAGCTGTCGTTTAGAAAAATGTGATTCCCCTAAGGTTTTGTTTGATTAAACCTTGTTACCTTTTCGAAAGAGTAACTCGAGCGACAGTAGCAAATAAAATCAAGTTTTTGCTTAGCGTTTTGCGGTTAAGCTCCAGCTTGAGCTCCAGGCCGTGTTCAGGCCTCTAACCCACAAGACTTTGACGCTCTCACCCGGTTAAAGGCGGGAGCTGGGGCTGCAGCTGGAGCCCATGGCATTGACCACGTAACCGAGTGCGAAAAGAAGTGCGAATCAAATTACTGGAGTTGTCAAACGAGCTGCACTGAACCCATTACGGGGCCGAACACGTGAGCGCAGAAGACAAAACCCTTTTTAAATCGAGTGCAAAATGCGACACAGAAACGGCTGGAATCATTATTATACTTAATTTGTGCACATGTATGTATATTCAATGGCTACTTGGAGACTGGGCAAAAGTCAGGCCCAGCCGATAGCCTTTGGCTGCGCCTGTGGCTGCGCTTATGGCTGTGTCTGTGCCTGTGCCTGTGCCTGTGCTAAAGCCAGTGCCTGTGGCTATGGCTGTGTTGGCGACATTTGATTTAGTTCTATTTTCTGAATTTGACTCTAGATTTCGATTCATGTCGCAATCAGCGGAACATGCTATCAATGGCGTCAATGTCGGCAACATAGCAATAGGTCTAATTAAATTTGTAGATCGGCGGGCAGCGGCCGAGTCCAGTCGAAGCTTGATAAGGTTTGAATGCCATCGAGAAGAAGGCGCCGGCTTCATGGCATGTGCTCCACTTCTGTTCTCATCACGAAATATGTGCGATCATCCACTAAACCACGCAGATCATTCAGTTTATCAACGCAAAGAGTCCGAAAAGAAAACGGAAGCAATTCAATTATAATTAATTTGCTGAATGATTATCAATTTCCATTTCCATTTCTATTTTCTATTTTTATTTTAATTTGTGTTTTACGGCCTAAATCCTGTATGGAAGTGTCTAAAATTGTATTTAAAGAAAATGTTGCATATTTCTGGGAGCTGCCGTGGCTTGTTATAATTTTCGACGAGCTACAAAATAGTGAATTATTCGAACTTTCCATTTATTGATATTTATGCATACATTTGTTTAGGCCTTGAAGTGTAGCCGCTTAAAGTGGACAAAAATGTATCAAAGGATTTACCCACAACCATCCAATTTAATACAATGAAACACCTTTTCCGCTCTGCACTTAATCCCGTTTTCATTCAGTTTCCATATCAATCGAAATTCAAATAAAACTTGAATTGCCAACCGGAAATGTTCAATGGCAAATCCTATTTAGCTATGCCAAAAATCAAGCTTAGATTACGGGGAAGGTTATCAACGTGTGCTCTCGCTAACCTTTCACCCTATACTATTTTGCCAAAAAATAATAAATAAATGGATGACATAATCCATGCCTGATTGTGGCTGGACTCTATTGAACCCCAGACCCAGAGACTGGATCCCCAGACTTATCTGCAGAAGGCAAAGAGTTGCACGATCTGCCTGCCGGAAATGTACGAGTATGTGGGGGTCTGGGAGAGTAGGGTGCAATGTTACAAGCAAATAATAACAATAACAGTAGCCACAGAGTGATTAAGGGAAGAGTTGACCCAATTTTCTCGCTTGTGGATGATAAAGTTTGGTTGCTCCTAATAGCGCAGTTTTACAAGCACTGTCTATATATTTCCTAGAATTTTTCTTTCGTTTGATAAGCACTGCCAGTGCGCACGTTTACAGTTTTAGAGTAACTTTAAATCTAATCAATTCTGTTAAACGCTTGAGCAACGCTATTAATGATGATTGTTATCTGAAACCCCATTTACGGATCTGTTCTAATAGCATTTAAATAGAATTATAGACAGTTTTTCCGAATACTTGATGTATTCTTGGGTTGCCACTTACCTTTGCCGCCTCCGCAAAGGACACAACGCCAGCCAGCAGATACACCGCTCCCAGAAGACCCGAGAGATGCCGTAGATCTCTGGGTAACATCTTCGATGGGTCCTTTGGTCCTACGCGCAAACTATATATGTCTCACTCTTGCAATCTCTCTCTGTATTTCGGTCTCTCTCTCTCTCAAAACACACACGAAACTGCGAACGAAATAAGCATTAAGAATTTGGGTGTTTAATTAACATTTTTGTGGAACCGAACAAAATTCGATATTAACGTGAACTCCCATATATAAATTTCGCTGGATTTGGGAAAATAGTGAAACAGAACTAACAGAATACGCTGATTTGCTGCTGCTGCGGTCGTCGGGCACAGCACTCTCCCCACATGTGGAGATCGTCAAGCGTTCGAAGTGTTACTAAACACGAAGCCCGCGGAAGAAATCCGAATTCGCGGCCGCACTCGCTTTGGATGATCGGACGATCGTCGTGCCGCGGTTCGGATGGCGCTCGGCTCCCGCACCACGCACACTAGTGTAAATGGATGGTGCATTGGTGTTGGGGGATAGATGGATGAATGGATGGACGGCTGGATGGCTGGCAAAGCATTCTCTGGTCGTAGTAGTAGTCACGGGCCAGGGCCAGGCCAGGCCCGGGTGGATGTGGATTTAGCACTTTGCCGCCTTGAAATGAGGAAATGAGCCAGCCCCCGAACAGTTTCGAGATGCTTTTTACTAAAAGTCGTAGTCAATCCATCCAGATTTCGTATTACTAAAATCTATTTCCATTTCCCATTTGGTTCCATTTCGTTGCTGTTTGCTTGTCGCCTCTCGTGATTAGGTTAAGGCTTTTTCATTTAGTATGTTCATAAGCCCGGGGTGTGGGCATGGGTATGGTACGGGCAGCTGATAAGACGGATATGGCTGCGTATTTCCTGTTAGAAAAATCTCAACTCGACTTCGAGTCCGAATCCGTGCTGTGGTCGGGACCGGAGCTGGGGCTCCAGCTCTGTGCTCGGCACTCAAGTTAATTTATACGCAGATTTAGCAGCATTACGAAAATAGAATATTTGGAATTTCCAAATCGGTTTTAGGTTTTGGGGTCACAGCATTTTGAAATATCTCTTGATACGCTGTTCCTAGTCAAGCCACACTTTGGTTGGGCAAGAGACCTCGTATATTAGGGTATACGGAAGACCGATATGACCTATTGGCCTCAATAGATATCAGGCTAAGAACTTTCTAATTGATTATTAGATGAAAATGCTTCAGCCTTAATTTCAAATGTGGATTGGTTGACAAAAAGCGACTGAAAATTGTACCTGGAAATTCTGTCCAGATTTAGGTTAAGGTATTTACATCGACTCAGAAGGATTTGGTTGATTATTGTTGATTGTTTTACAAAATCGTCAATCAAGCTATAAAGTACATTTTTGGTAAAATTCGTGAAGACCAATCGGTCGATTAATTCATGTTCACCTGTCCGTTATAACACCTTGGCTTCGGAGAATAAAAGTTGACGAAAATCTATGACTCTAATGACTCTAGACTCTCGTAATAGTACAATTTTGAAGATAAAATGGTATAATAATTATTTTCTATTTCTAAATGTACCATATTTATTGATAGGCTTCCGGAATGTAGTAAAATTCAGCATAAAATGGAACTTAAATCGGATATTTGCCTTAGGAACGATCGGTGCAAAGATTCAAAGGTCTTTGAATCTTTTTTAGCTGCTATAGAAATGCTCGGGCTGCATCAGTACCTAGAGGTAGTGGAATCGTTAAATAATTTACTTGGTTTGAGTTTGACAGAATTTTCTGTATATTATATAAATAAATATTAATATTATATTAGTAAATATTTATATTTATTTTTTTAATGATCGTTTTTATTATAGGGCTTGTTCCCATTTTGTTTCGGATGATCCATGCCGATATCGTTTCAATATAGCGTAAACATATAAGAGTGGAAGGAGCCGACCGAGGTTGACTACAATATCTGACTACAATATGTAAATTTCCAGCTTCGAATGTAGTCAAAGAAAAATTTCTTCTCCGACACTTACAGGAGTATTATAAAGATTCGTCTACATAAAGTATACGTACAAGCAACTGCAGGGATATAATAACCATTCGCACAAATATACGTGATATTGGACGCCAATATTGGATTTTGGAAATCTTAAAACATAGCTGTGTCCGAAAACGAGGAACAGACGATATCATTTGAACGATCTTGGGGTGTGTGGGCTATCAGCTAATGCTAAAGCCTAAGCTGGAGCCGAATAGTACCTTCCTCCAAGGGAAGTACGAGTATAGGCGAAGTAGAAGAATCGTTCCAAAGCCAATGCTTTATTGAGCAACTTAAGTCGCATATCGCCAGATGCCCCAACAACAGCAATAAGCATATGACAAGGGAGCAGGGGGTAAAGGGGGGGTATATTATCGCCAAGTTTCATTCATTCCAAAGCGACTATGTTAGCTGTTGGGATTAGTGTTGCTACATAGTCGTCATCCCATCCGTTCCATATGGACTCCGCCTCCCATTCCCCCAGACACACTCACACACACAACCGCAAAGAAATGCTCTGATCACACGGACGACACGGATAGTGTACATGAGCTATTTCGGCACAAAAAACCGAAGCGCATTCGGGTTGGAGCTCGGGCTCCGACGGCTGCTTCGGCCAGACGATCGTGGCATTGCCGTTTGCTTTTGGGATCGCTTAAACTTATACTATAATTAGTCGTGTTCCGTCTTCTCGAGTAAGTAGTAGACTGGGTGGGCAGAGCTCTGGCCTGGGAGCACCAGTTGCCTGTGCGCTTTTGGTCTTGTGTGTGGTGTGCGCGGCTCGGCGCTCGGTTTAGTACGCTCCCGTCAATTCCCACAGTTAGATCGGTTTTCAGTAAGGAAGTTTCACAAAAAAATAAAAAAAAGCAAGAAAATACGAACGAAGGAGCGATACCGCGATCCCAGCTGCAATAAAAGCTCGAAATATCTAAAATACAAATAAAAAAGAAACATTTTCTCTAGAGAAAAGATATTTGAAAGAAACTTGTTTAACGTCACAGTGCTTTTAAAACTGTAAAGTGCGCCTGGGCATCAGTGAAACTCAAAGTTCCCGAATGAAAGCCATTCTAAAAATTTAAATAAAATATACGCCTTAGAATAATACTGTACCAAGAATATAACAAATAAAATATAAAAATATATTATATATATAAAATATTTTGGACACAAATATGAAATAAAAGTTTAAAAATTAACAATTCTGAAACCATTTTGGCAAGTGCAGCAAAATATAAATGACCCACTTTTCTGGCTCATCTTTCAGGCCCAACGACGGCAACACATTTACAACTCGACGAGGACAGAGAAAATAATTGTGCAGTTTTAAGTGAATAGGGCATGATGTTGCCCTTCTGGAAGCGGTAAGTAAAAAAAAAATGTCTTGAAAAATACCAAAAAGAAAAGAGTATCCCAATATATCTTGAATTTACACCGATGTAAAGGGAAAAGAGACTGAAATTCTGTTAGAATTTCATTTAAACCCCAATTGTATTGTTATTAATTGTACATAAAAAAGTTTAAAATTTAGACAAAAAAATTGAAAAAGTTACTTTTCCATTGATTTGATCTTGTAATATACGCTAAAAGCTCAAATTGAAATAAGCACTAGCAGAATATTTAAACCTTACTTCAATCATTTTTTTTTAATTCTTATGAGAATTCGTCTGATCAGATTTCATAGCTCTCTTAAAAAAATCCCCTCTCTCTTGAATGAACTGATTCTCTTACGTTCGCACTCTGTTACTCAAATCACACACACACATTGATCGCTAAAAAGAGAAACCACGCAGTCACACACATAGCTAACGATTGATAAGCCTGATGGTGCTTACTATACACACATACATACGAGTGTATGTAATTTTTAACTAAATAAAAATAGATACCCTACAAATATATTTAAAAAAAAAACTAAAAAATATTGCAGGCTGCTGTACGCCGCTGTCATCGCTGGAGCGTTGGTTGGTGCAAACGCTGTAAGAGACCCTTGACCTTTGCTAATTGATGGGTATCAACAGAGCTTAACTTTCGTATCGTTGCAGCAATTCTGGAAGACCGCTGGCACCTCTGGTTCTATTCAGGACTCAGTCAGACACCAAAGCAGAGAAGACCCCCGGGACTCATTTCCCATTGATGATAGCTATGACATTGTAGACTCGGCGTCAATTCAGCGCGGCGGACAGCCACCCAAAAACTGTACAGCCGGATACGCCGGCTGTGTGCCCAAATGCATTGCCGAGAAGGGTAACCGCGGTCTGCCAGGTCCATTGGGTCCCACCGGACCCAAGGGTGTCTCGGGCTTTCCGGGTCAGGACGGACCACTGGGCGACAAAGGCCAGAAGGGTGACCCCGGACCATATGGACTGCGTGGCGACAAGGGCGAGCGTGGATCGCAGGGCATTCCCGGTCTGCCAGGCGTGGGAGGTGTTCAGGGATCGTCTGGCAATCCCGGCTTACCCGGTATAAACGGCAAGGATGGCTGTGATGGATCCGATGGTTTGCCCGGCTTGCAGGGTCTCTCGGGTATGGCAGGACCACGTGGCTTCCCGGGCAGTCCGGGTGGCAAGGGTGAGAAAGGTGAACCGGCAAAGGAGAACGGAAACTACGCAAAGGGTGAGAAAGGTGAGCCCGGCTTCACAGGACGTTCAGGGTACGCAGGACCCCAAGGCAATCCTGGTGACAAAGGCGAACGTGGTGACACCGGACCGTATGGCTCCAAAGGTCTGCGTGGAGATCGTGGCATTAAGGGAGAGAAAGGCGACTCTTGCTTTGGACCTCTGATGCCAGGAAAGCAGGGAGAGAAGGGCGAGAAGGGTGATCCAGCCGTTCCTATCCCCGTCACCGGTAGTGAACGTGTGTCCGGCCCACGTGGTGATCCCGGGCAGAAGGGAGAGGTTGGACCCTATGGCGAGAAAGGTGAGCTCGGTCCCGGCGGTGAGCCTGGACAGGATGGGCAGAAGGGCGAGAAGGGCTTACCCGGCGGCTCTGGAGATAGAGTAAGTGATAAACGGAAGAATGTAAAGGGTTGCGCTCATGTGAGTTCTACTGATCCTGCTCCATTTTAGGGTCGTCAAGGTAACTTTGGACCACCAGGACCTTCTGGACAGAAGGGAGACCGTGGTGAAACTGGTCTAAACGGTTTGCCTGGAAGTTTCGGTCAGAAGGGAGAGCCAGGACGTCCTGGTCAATCCGGTCAGCGAGGTTTGGTCGGTCCTCCAGGACCACCAGGTGGCGGTCGCGGACAGCCAGGTGCTCCAGGACCGAAAGGACCACGCGGTTATACTGGCACGCCCGGTCCCCAGGGCTTGAACGGCGCTGATGGACAGCCAGGACCCCAGGGATACGTTGGCCAGAAGGGAGGTAGTGGCATGCCCGGCCGTCCGGGTGGCGAGGGCCCTCCGGGACAAAAGGGTGAGAAAGGTATTGGAGGACGCGTCGGACCCCAGGGCCCCGTCGGACCCATCGGCCACACTGGACCTCCAGGCCCCGAAGGTCAAAAGGGCGATGCCGGCACCCCTGGCTATGGCATTGAAGGTCCGAAAGGAGACGATGGAAATCCTGGGTAAGTCTTTGACATCGATGACGATGCGGTTCCATGATTTACCTCTCATATTGTCCGACCCCTCAGCTATCCTGGCCAGAAGGGCGGAAAAGGTGAACGAGGTTTCAAAGGAAATTCTGGTGTTCCTGGCGATTCGAAATTAGGCAGACCTGGCACGCCCGGTACCGCTGGTGCTCCCGGACAGAAGGGTGACGCTGGCCGTCCCGGTACTCCTGGCGCTAAGGGAGACATGGGCATTAAGGGAGACATTGGCGGCAAGTGTTCCTCTTGCCCACCCGGTCTGAAGGGAGATAAGGGTACGCGAGGTTTAGATGGTATTCCCGGCAATCCCGGCGTTCGAGGACCACCTGGAGAGCCTGGACACCAAGGCGAACGAGGCCACGATGGAATCAACGGACAGACGGGTGCTCCAGGAGAAAAGGGAGAGGATGGTTTGACTGGTGCCCCTGGTGCCACTGGAGCTCCTGGTAAGGGAGCAATTATCAACTATAGCCAAATAAAGACCGAAAAGGGAGAAAAGGGACAGCCAGGCCTTCCCGGAGCTGCGGGTGTAAAGGGAGACCGCGGAGAAAGCGGCGTTCCTGGTCTTGCTGGAGTCAAGGGAGAAATGGGCTTTAAAGGAGACAAAGGCTACACCGGACAAGCTGGCACAGATGGTATCCCTGGAGCCCCAGGGCGCGATGGATACGATGGTGCTCCCGGTCTCAGCATTAAGGGAGAATCAGGCAGTCGCGGCATGGACGGTCTTAAGGGTGACAAGGGTACAGCCGGATACGTCGGACCGAAGGGAGAACCCGGCACATGCGAGGCCAGCGAGCTGAAGATCCCAGCAAAGGGAAATAAGGGCGACCGTGGTGCCACTGGGATGCCCGGAGTCGATGGACCAATCGGACAGAAAGGCGAGATCGGATACCGCGGTGAGAAGGGTTCAACCGGTCCTCAAGGCCCAGTTGGTCCCGTTGGCCCACGTGGAATGACTGGACCCCGTGGCGAGAAAGGTAACATCGGACCCATCGGTGCTGCTGGCAATCCTGGAAAAGACGGTACTCGTGGCTTGCCTGGTCGTAACGGAGATCGCGGTCAAAAGGGAGAAGAGGGAATACCGATGCCTGGACCACCCGGCCCACAGGGTCGCGAAGGCTTGCAAGGTCTAAAAGGAACTCGTGGCCTACCCGGACCCCAGGGTCTGCCTGGACAAGAAGGAAATGCTGGCTATCCCGGTGATAAGGGAGATGCTGGAGTACCAGGAATACCTGGTCGTGTTGGCGCTGTTGGCGAGAAGGGAGACCTTGGCCCATTGGGTCCAATTGGACAGCCCGGACCCCCTGGTATTCCTGGTATTGATGGAGTGCAAGGCCGCGACGGATCCAAGGGTGAACCCGGTAATCCTGGTTTGGTTGGTATGCCCGGCAATAAGGGCGATCGCGGAGCACCTGGCAACGACGGACCTAAAGGCTTTAACGGAATCACCGGCTCACCCGGAAAGCGTGGACCAGCTGGAATTCCCGGAATTTCAGGTAAGATTTCCCAAGCCCAAAAATTAGTTCTTTATTTAGCATCCTCTTTTGCAATTTGCTTTTTTGTAGGCATGAAGGGCGACAAAGGAGCTCGTGGCTTGACTGGAAACGACGGACCGATGGGTGGACGAGGACCCCCGGGACCACCTGGCCTGCTGGGTGTTAAGGGTGAGCCCGGACTTCTCGGTGCTCCGGGACAGAGAGGACTGGACGGCTTGAATGGTGAAAAGGGTAACCAAGGTCTGCCTGGCTATGACGGACCTCAGGGCCTGCCTGGAGATGCTTCCGAAAAGGGACAGAAGGGTGAACCCGGTCTGTCTGGACTGCGCGGTGATCCTGGAGTATCCGGTGAGCCTGGACTGCCTGGAGAAAAGGGATTGCCCGGTATGGCTGTATACGGACGACCTGGACCCCAAGGAGAAAAGGGTGACACTGGACGTAGTGGCGCGGACGGCATAAATGGATTAAATGGAGAAAAGGGTGACATTGGCTTGCCTGGCTTCTCTGGAAGGAATGGCGAAAAAGGATCCGTTGGACTTCCTGGCCTTCCCGGAGCTCCCGGAATTGATGGTCAGCCTGGACTGCAGGGTGCTCCCGGACCAGTCGGCTATCCAGGCGCCCAAGGATACAAGGGACAGGCTGGCCTGCCCGGTCTGTCCGGCATCAAGGGTGACACTGGCCCCATTGGTCCTCAGGGCTACATTGGAAACGCTGGCATCAAGGGCGAGAGAGGTCCACGTGGTCAGCCTGGCCTCCCAGCTACTGTCAATGTCGATATGCTCCGAGGCGAGAAAGGCTCTGTGGGAGAGCGCGGCCTGACCGGAGAAAAGGGAGATCAGGGAGAGAGAGGAGAGCAAGGTCTGGCTGGATATCCAGGAGTAAAGGGAGACCAGGGACTGGAAGGTCCCCGTGGCTTGAATGGACTGAACGGAGCTCCTGGACTGAAGGGAGATGCGGGTCTTGTAGGTGAGCCTGGTTACCCTGGACCCGTTGTCAAGGGTGAGAAGGGTCTGCCCGGGCGCGCCGGAAAGTACGGACGTGAAGGTGAGTTCTCCCAACCATAAGTTCAAATCGAATAACAACTAACCCATAATCATTTCATATAGGCCTTCCCGGAGCACCTGGCATCAAGGGCGAGCGTGGTTTGCCTGGCCTGGCCGGTACACCTGGCTTAGTAGGTCTGCCCGGACCCATTGGACCCGCAGGCGACAAGGGAGAGCGTGGTCTGGCTGGTACACCTGGTCAGCCCGGACTCGACGGATTAAGTGGCGCTCCAGGTCTTAAGGGCGACCAAGGCTATCCCGGACCGAAGGGAGATCGTGGATTGGCTGGCTTTGAAGGACAGAAGGGTGATAAGGGTGACCAGGGACACGCCGGCCTGCCCGGTCTGGCTGGATTAGCTGGAGCCAAGGGCGACACTGGATACCCCGGCTTAGACGGACCAGAAGGACCACAGGGCTCCCCAGGTGAGAAGGGCTTCACCGGACCCAAGGGACGCGACGGCCGCGACGGAATTCCAGGTCTGCAAGGACAAAAGGGTGAACCTGGCATGGTGCCGCCGCCAGGACCCAAGGGCGAACCTGGCAAGCCTGGGCGTGAAGGTCAAAAGGGCGAACCAGGCCAGCCCGGTGCCCGTGGCCTGACCGGAATCCAAGGACAGCGTGGAGAAAAGGGTGATCGCGGTCTGATCGGTCCAAGCGGAGCTATCGGACGTCCCGGACCTAAGGGCGACCGTGGAGAGCAAGGTCCGGTTGGACGAGAGGGTGCCGTCGGCGCCATGGGTCTGAAGGGTGATGCAGGTCTAGCCTGTAGTGGCGCCCAGGACTACCTCACCGGCATTCTTGTGACACGCCACAGTCAGAACGACCAAGTGCCGCAATGCGCTGCGGGTCACTCGCAGCTCTGGACTGGCTATTCTCTACTCTACGTGGATGGCAATGACTACGCCCACAACCAAGATCTCGGGTCCCCGGGCTCCTGTGTGCAACGCTTCTCCACTTTACCGGTACTGTCCTGTGGACAGAACAATATCTGCAACTACGCGTCGCGCAACGATAAGACCTTCTGGCTGTCAACATCGGCCCCCATTCCCATGATGCCGGTGGAGAACTACGAGATTAGCAAATACATCTCGCGCTGTGTGGTCTGCGAGGCGCCTGCCAACGTCATTGCCATGCACAGCCAGTCTCTTGAAATACCCGAATGCCCCTCAGGTTGGGAGGGTCTCTGGATTGGCTACAGTTTCCTCATGGTGAGTACTCAGCCCATTCAGAAGCGGAATCGGAAGCTTGATTTCATATATTTTATTTTCCCCACAGCACACGGCCGTGGGCAATGGAGGCGGTGGCCAGGCTCTGCAATCGCCTGGCTCATGCCTAGAGGACTTCCGTGCAACACCGTTCATCGAGTGCAACGGCGCCAAGGGCACCTGTCACTTCTACGAGACAATGACCAGCTTCTGGATGGTCACTCTGGAGTCAAACGACCAGTTTGAGAAGCCCCAGCAGCAGACGATCAAGTCCGGCAACCTGCTGTCCCGCGTCTCCAGGTGTCAAGTCTGTATGAAGAACTCGTCATAGGCGGTCGTGGGGCCCTGCCCCACTTGCCTCCACACAGACACAAGCACAGCATAAGTTTAATCTAATGTTAAAGCCCCTAAATATACCAACGAACAGTGCACACACCACACACAGAACAGGAGACACACTCTCAGACGAACCAACACTGCTACCAATTCCTTAAACTAACCAAATCGAAGCGACAGGCCCCGTCTAAGTGCTAGAACGGACCTGGACCAAATGCCATTTTTGTATCTGCCATTTAATGTTCTAAACAAATGTAAACTGCTTCTTAGTTACGTGTAAGTTAAGTAAATCAAAACAAATAAATAAACTAGCCTCGGTCGTATGTCCAAAACCACCTAAATATCTATCTAAACCTAAGTAGAGAGAGTGCTGCATGTTCCATTTTGATTAAATGCGAAAGAATGCATATGGGGACAATGAAAACATATCGAATGGTTGACAAGACATAGGACCTCCTCCACTACATATATGCTATACAAAACTGCTATTTTTTCGCCAATCATTTATGTTTATGAAACAAAAAAAACGGTAAAATAAAGAAAATTTATAAATACGATATACATGATTTAGATAGTTTGAAAATCTGAGAAGAAGGATTGTCTGAACCATGATAAGCGATCGTCCATCTTATTTCTACTAATCCCTCGCCAACCAGATTTAAATCATTTTACACCACACAAACATCCAAATCTGGTTATTCTTTTATGTCAAGGCTTTGTTGCCATAAAAGCAGGTAAGCCTATATTTCCTGTTCACGTCTCAGAGATATTTCTCTTCCTATAAAACATCACTGAAAATACTTTGGTAATAAATTACTAGAAGTATAATTTGTGGAAAATTAGCATGGCGAGGATTGGATGACATGGTATAACATACAGTAAAGTTTCTGGAGTCGAAAAATATTATTATATTATTTTATCACACGTATACACTTTTCATATTTGCTCAATTCTTCACATATGATTATGGTTGCATCTTTCATCTTTCTATAATTTATTCCTTTCTATTCAAAGAATATAAGGGTATATATTGTTCGTGTAAATGTTCATTTTTCTTGCATGAAGAAAAACAGGTTTTTACAAACATAAAAATTATTTGATTAAAACGGATCACTGTACGATTATCGTATAGCTGCAGATAAAAATATAATTGTATTGGATGTTGAACTCCAAGGATATATAAATTAAATCGCTGAAGATGTCAACTTCAATAAATAAAACGAGGGGGAACGTTGTGAGTTGCTGCGTAAACCGCAACTCTACAGTTATACCCGATACTAAGTCAGTATGGCTCTCCTCCGTCAGACGCCGCTAATATTAAACGACACGACAAAGAGTGCGAGAGAGACAGAAAATCAGTCTGAGCGTGACGTCGGGCGCTGCGTAGCCACTGAAAATTGTTTTGTTCCTTTTGGGTATAAAAACGATCTGATCTCATTCAGATTCAGCAATCTGATTGATATGATCATTATCTATGATGCTGCGTTTTTAGTTTTCATGTATCCTCAATATTATGGATGCAACAGTTTTTCGTTCTTTGTGGGGGCGGAAGGGGGTGGGGCGAAATTTTGAGATATACGTTTTATAGTGAGATCTAACAGAAGTGCGGATACCAAATTTGGTTACTCTAGCCTTAATAGTCTCTGAGATTTGAGGTTGCCCCAGATTTTCGTCCTTTGCGGGGGCGGAAGCGGGTGTGGCGAAATTTGGACACGAAACGGTCAAGGTCCGATATCACAGGAGTGTGGATAACAAATTTGGTTGCTCTAGCTTTTATAGGTTCTGAGATCCTTGAACTCATATTTTGCAATTGGCAAAACCGACCATGAAACCTGTGTGTTAGAGAGAGACAGAGCGAGAAAGAATGAAATGGTTTTCTTAATTCTGACTATAATAATTATACGATCTGATTTAGATTTTACACTCTAGAACATATAGTTATCCCCTACGATTCTTTGTTTTTTGTTTTCTTGTATCGTCGAAATTGTGGATGCCACAGATTTTCGCTCTTTGTGGGGGCGGAAGTGGGCGGGGCAAAGTTTTGAAATATTCTTGTAGCAGTGACATATCACAAAAGTCTGGATCCAAAACATCGTTGCTCTAGCTCTTATAGTCTTTGAGCACTAGGCGCTGAAGGGGACGGACAGACGGACAGACGGACGGACGGACAGACGGACAGGCTCAATCGACTCGGCTATTGATGCTGATCAAGAATATATATACTTTATGGGATCGGAAACGATTCCTTCTGGACGTTACACACATCCACTTTTTCCACAAATCGAATATACCCCAATACTCATTTTGAGTATCGGGTATAAAAATCTCTATGGTGCTCCAGATTTGCATCTGTAACTTTAAGTTTCAGAGCAAGTATTTTTTTACATTTTTTAGTTTTTGTGATATAACACAATATTCTTCTTAACAGTAAGGTGGTGCAGAAATTTTTTTTTAAACAAGGGTTCAGACAGTCAGATTTTGTGGTGGATATTATTTTCCCTCTTTAAGTAAGCCCAGGGAGAGCAACGAAAATCTCACCACTTGCCGCCTCCAGAAGCCAGGCACTTGTGCGCATGCCCCTGGCTGAGAGGCCGAACGCGTGGGGGTTTGGGTAGCTGTGGGGTGGTTGGGGTTGGATGGGGATGGAGGGTTGGGAAGCGCCAGAGGGGTGGCATACGATACCATATGATAATGATATGCAGACACATATATTCCAATTGGTGGTTGGAAGAGTTTCCTTCCAGCTGTGGCCGCACGAAAATAGGGGTAGGCTTTCTGGGTTCGAATTGGAAAAGTAAACGGCACACATCAGTCGTCGGTGGGAGTTCGAATACATACGTCAGCAGATAAGACGTGCTCAGTCGCACGAGTGGGACTGAAAAATGTATACTCAAGAGGAAAAACTGGAGAAGAAGTAGGGAAAAATGTAATCCATTGCAGGTTTTGCAAGAACTTTGAGAAACCCCAAAAGAGAAAGGTGCCAGTGCCAGTGCCAGTAACAATAACAGTGCCAGCCGGAAGCCCCGAACAAAGGCAACCCACTTACAACACGAGTAAGTGGAACCTAGTCGAAGCAGCAGCAGCAACCCCCAAAACGGACAAAAGGAACAACCCCCCAAAACCCCAACTCCAACTACAACCGCTATATGATTATCGTGCTGTTGTTGCTGTTCCAATCGCTCTGCCTCTACTGCCAACGTCTGGTGCTGCACATCCACGATCGATGTTTCCCCCGCAACGTACGCCTCTTGCAGGAGGTGGCCGAAACGGTCGGCGATCGTAAAGCCCAACAGCATCTGGAGCAGCAGGAGCTGGAGCAGACCAAGCGCCGCCAGAAGCGCCGCATCCTCGAGCCCATCCTCCCCCTTGGAGCTGGCGTTAACTCCGAAGCCTGTCGCTTCTGTGCCCATAGCCCACAGGGCTACTGCCGTCATCACTTCCACCTGCAGGAGCTGCAGCTCCACCAGCAGCGGAACTCGTCCCGAATTGGCGGCGACCAGGACTACAAGCAGCTGCGTCGCATCAAGCGCGAGCTAAAGCGGAGTCTGGGACAAAGGCAGCCACAGCTGAGGAGCTATCGACCACTGCTGTCCGGCAGTCCCAGCTGCAGCTCCCTAAGCAGTGGCTACGGTTCGATCAGCACCTGCAGTACCTACGCCGACGAGGAGGAGGAGGCGGAGGAGGAGGAGCAACACGACGAGTCAGTCGAAGTGCCAGGTAACCTGGTAACTACTCACTTGTAGCCCTCTCCAGCAGATCTTGGGAAAAGTAAAAGCCACTCCATCCCATTCAATTTCATCTCAAAAGCCGTTTAACAGAAGGCCTTTGGAAAGTCCTCAGACATTTATAAGTGGCTTGATTTTCTATTGTCGTTTCAAAAATTGAAGTAGTTACAACAATGTCGGACGTGGAGATTGAACAGCAACCGGATCCGGCGCACTTGGCTGTGGTGATGACGCCTCGACGACGCCGTCACAGTGGACGCCGTGGAATCGGGCCCACAGCCCAAGATGCCAAAGTGTCAAAGACACCGACATCCGCATCGCCCTCGCGAAGCTGTCCACTGGCACACGGCACTAAAGACAATTGGACCTGGAGCAATCGCAATCGTTCCAATGAGGTGGTGCTAAGCGGCCCCAATTTTCGCACTGTTCACTTCCATCCCAACTGGAGCAAGGGCACCGCCGGAGTCCAGGGCAAGCGGCCACTCAACAATGGTCGCTACTACTGGGAGCTGCATGTGTCACAGAGGGTCTTCGGGACCTCGATAATGTTTGGGATTGGCACCCGGTCGGCTCGGCTACATGCCAATGCCTTCCGCAATATGCTGGGGGAGAACGAGCACGGATGGGGACTCTCACACAAGGGCGTGCTCTGGCACAACGGCGTGGCCCTACTGTATACGAAGCGTTTCCGCGAGAATCATTCCACCCAGATTGGTGTGCTTTTCGACGGTATTGAGGGCACGCTGACTTACTATAAGGATGGAAAGTGTCTAGGCGTGGCCTTCAGGGGATTGGATAAAATTGAGGAACCTCTCTATCCCATCGTATGCTCGACAGCCGCCAAAACGGAGATGACTCTAAAGAGTGCTCGGCGTGAGTTTGTCAATCTCCAGGATCGTTGTCGGGCCGTGATTATGCGGCGAGTCCGAAGCTCCTCTCAACTGGAGAAGCTCAAGCTTCCGCTGCCGATCCGTGCCTACTTGAGTGAAGTCATTGATGACAAAGAGCCGCTGCGTCAGGTCGACAACTATGATATACTATGTGATTTCTAGAGTTTGGAACATCTGTACCGCATCTCCCAAATAATCTCCCAATAATCCGCATCTCTATTATAACCGTTGGATTTTGGAAGGAGAGAAGTGGAACAGTCCCAAACCATACAAAATAATATCTAAGCTGCGACCCGTGAAACTGTTGTTGTGCCATCAAGTGGGTCTGAAAAGAAACAAGAGGGAAAACGTTTCTAGAAAATACTATTGTACATTTTCAAGTAATTCTAAATTGTATTTTACGTTTTGCTATAATACTTTCTTGGTTTTGTTTATATCTTTCTGTTGAGATTTCTAGCTAAAATGTGGGGAAATAGGCCAAATTCGGTGCAATATTTGTGATATAAGGAATGGAGGAATAACATGAATATTCAATTTGTATTTGTGGATCAAACTGCATAAAGCTATCCGCAAAATAAGATAAAGTCATAGGCCATAGAGCTAAGCATATTTTTTGGTACAGACGAGTGTGAAATCTAGTCAAAGGAACACGCTGCTAACCTAACTTTGTATTAATGGCCAGCAAATATTCATAAGTAACCTAATCTATCGATTGAAAAACTCAATTCTAGTCATACAAGCAGAATTAAACGATGTTTCCCTTGATCTAACAACATTTATGGCACTTGTAAATGTATTATACAGCTTTGGTCACATAAATATTTTAGTAAAAATGATTTATTACATTATTCTTATTATGATTATTGTAGATTTGGTGTCTGTATAAATTACTACACATAATTTAATTGGTATTCATAGATGGCAAGCAAGACATGTACATGAAATTCTTAAAAAAAAAAACGCTCAAAACAAATTAGCGATATTGATTTTTGCGTCATTTGGGGGAAACTTGGATTTACATGAATAAAACATACATTTCCTAACTATACAAATGGGAAGAAGTACACAAGTGTAGAATGCGCTACACAATTTCAATATCTGTCTAAAGCAGAGTTAATTCGTTATACATATTATAGCTCATCGGCCAAGTGATTTATGTTTTGCAGGTGGTCTCCATAATCGGTAGCCTCGCTGCCCACAAAAGTCTCATAGTTGTTGAGAATCTCCAGATAGGAGAGACGATCATCGTGATCCTCGTCGGTAGAGACAAACAGATGGTCGACCTCATCGCTAGCAATGGCAGTATTGCTGGGCACTATCCAGGAGAGCACCTCGTTTCCCGTGAGCACACCGTCCCCGTTGATATCGTGATCCTTGTCGAAGCGCTCCTTCTCTGTTAGCAGCCATTCCTTGTCGTGATGTGAGGCAGCCTCACCCACAAACTCCTGGAAATTAATCTTGCCATCGTGATTCAAGTCCTTGTCCTGCATGGTATGCTCCAGGAGTATGGGCAGCATCTGGGGATGTTCCTCGGGATTGTGGAAGTACACAAACTCCTCAAGACTCAGGACGCCGTCCTTGTTTATATCAGCTGCATTAAACATCTCCTTATCCTGCTTGATCATTTTCTGCTCCTCTTCGTAATTGTCAAAGTCGATTGTCTCTTTCTTGAAATTCTCATCTTCCATGGAATAGGTGTCCTGTAAGTACTCTTTCCATGTGATTCTCTCATCCGTTTCCTGGTCGATTTCGTCAAAGCGATCAGCTGCCTCTTCTTCGGACAGCTTTCTGCAATATTAGGATTAGTTTTAACAACGACAGTTTGACACACATTTGTTTTCATTTGTCAGTTTGGCGAGCAGAAGCAGTCACTAGCCGATAAGGGTTAGCAGCTTGGCGACACTGATTGGGGGTATTAATCAACAGACAACACTCACTTAAAAGACCTTAATATCCATGCTTTTAGTTCATGCCGGTCAACAAACTCGTCCTTGTTGAGATCCATTAGTTTAACCAGCACCAACAGGCGCCGTTTCGACTCCTCCGGCGACAGCGTGTCGAATTCCTGCGCCTCTTTCGTATTGCCTGGTATAATTAAATAAATACTTTAATACTTTAGTCTAAGCGTGAAGGGCGGAACGGCATGTGCACGTGTACAAAGTAGAAACACAGATCTTTGTCTGACGTGTTTCTGTCAGAATACCGAGTTTATGGATTTCGATGAGCAATTCACACAAATAAACAAATCGAGGGAAAGAAATGGGCTATTTAGAAGATGTGACTCACCAATGATGGCCTCGTGGTCGAACTCCACATTGTGCTCGCCATCCTCGCCATGATGGTGAGCATCCCTCGGGGCATAGATTCCATCCTTTACCCGCTCCTTACTCAAGTGATTCTCGTGTGCCGAATGCTTATGCGTGGCAACGGCTCCGAAGGCAGGCATTGGGCCGACAGCAGCGAACACGGCCACTGTGCACAGCACCAGCGGGAACGTGCGCATATTATTTCTAGGCATATTAATTGATTATGCCGAACGGTGTACTCTCTGTTCTGTTCGCTTTGTTTCTTTTTTTGGCAGCGCAGCTTCTTAAAACCTCACACACGCACAGTCAAATACAACACACATATGGGCTATGGGACTGGGGCCACTTGTGGTCTCTTCGACTCCCGGCGGCTAAAGAGCGCACACGTAATAGCAGAATACTGAATGAACTCTATTCACCTTTAGCTCTGGCTGAAATATGCAAATGCCATGTCTAACCATTCCTGCTGAAATTATTTCGAGTTAAAATTCTTACCCAGAACAGCGACAGCTGCTTGCTGCAATTTTCGTTCCTTAATTACGCCCAACTTCGCATTTTTGGGTTTGGGATAGCCTTAAGTAAATAGACTATGTATTCTACTAATTATTATTATTATTTTTTCAAACAATTTCCGTTTATTTATTTACGCAGAAAAAGGGGTAGTAGCAGTGTGACCGTGGATTTATCGTTAAAATATACCGTCCGACCCTAAGAAATATAACCAAAATATACCGTACTTTTACCGTACTTTTTTTACCGTACTCTATAATATTAAAAAAACATCGGAAACATCGATGTTTCATCGATGGTCGCTAACACCGATGTTTCTCCAGCCCTGCTTCCTCAGGTTGGTTGCGAAAATTGTTGGAGTTCATTGTTTTGTTGTTAAGAACAGGTGAAAACAATCGGTTAATAACAACAACAAATGTGCTGTAAGCGAAAGTTATTTCAACGCTTCTGTGGCTCAGAGACTTGATCAGTAAGTAAGTTACCAAATCGTGAATAAAAGCAGTGTCAGCGCCTCAAAAATGACATCATTGCAGCACCTTTTTTGCGACAGCTGTGTGGCATAAACCGCGTTTAGACTTGCGCGTTTATTTAGTTAGAAATGTGATCATAATTTACTTCCATTTGTGGGCCCAAAACACGCAAAGGACAAAATCTCTATAAGAAGTTAGGCAAAAGCTTTTGTGTATGTGGCTGTGTGTGTATGGTGGCAAGGGTGTTTTTGACCGGCTTATGGAGGAGAGTTTTGTTATTTTTGGTCTGAACCATGGAAACACTCATTAACTTTCCCGGAGCGGTGATGGTAGGTCAGTGTAATTATAGCTCCTGACCAGAGCTTGGCATGCAACTGGTCGTGCGGTCAAAGTGTGTGTGTATGCGAGTGAGTGTGTTTGATTATTATCCTGGGACCGCGCACTTGGGTGGGTCCTATGCGTCACTTTGTCATTTGGTGTCTGCACACATTGCTTGTACAGTATAGGCTAATCCAATAAAACGCTGCTAACCATTTCAGCCTAAGCAGCGTGACGCGACGCCTATTAATATTAAAAAAAACAGCAGAGACACAGACAGCGATTCGTCGTTGGCATTGGGAAAACCTCTTGAACACGTCGAAGCCAATTTCGGTTTTAGTTGTGAGCCAACCTTCAGATAGAAAAGCGAGCTTTTGTCGTCGTCTGCGTCTCGATTTCTTTCCCGTGCTTGCATTTGATTTGTACCATTATTCGACCACTCTGACTTCGACTCCGCCCGGCCTCGCTAATTAATTAGCAAAAGCATACCAAATGCCGTACATTATCATACGCGGAAATCTAGCCTCCTACAGTCACAAATATCCATGGCGTGTGCTCGTCTCTGGATTGAAAGGTAAACCCAGCCACGGCTATTCAGTTCAGTTCGAGTAGTAGATTTCCCATTTTCGACTTTGGTTAACATTTTGTATCGTTTAGTTTTTGGCTGTTTTGTGCGTTTATTATTGCGACACAATTCATGTGAAGATTGCTTGGCAAACAAATACACATATGCATATCTACATATATATATCTACAGATGCACGCACACATCGAAAACACGCAAGCTTAAAGCGCTAGTTACGGTTATTTCTACTTTACATTATAAACAAAACTTTTTTTGAATGAGCATACAGTGATGGTCAAAAAAATATGCATGCCAGAGCTGTAGGAAAGCTGGAAGCTGATTCTGCTTAGGTGATTGTGGTTTAGCTAAGCGAGTAACCTCAAACTGGCTGTTAAAAAATACGTACATTTGTATCTGCATTTTTACAGAACCCAGTAAAATTTGCTGAAGCTTATTATTATTATTATAGTTTATTGTAATATTACAAAAAGATGATTTAATTCTAGTATACAAGGCCTTCAAGCATGAAGCTTGTGGATATTGGTTACATAATGACACATTTTTAAACATATTCCTTTGTTTTAGGTAGATAAACAAAGCTCTACTGCTATAGCACATATTGAACATTCGTTTAGCACTATAACATATTACATATTTATATATTAATCAACAAATCAACAGCTGTACCTTAATTGCATGCCATTGGCACCGCCCAATCCCACCCTTCCGCTTTTTACGACCGCCACTGTTAGAAGCTTTTCTCTCTACGAACTTCTCTCGTCGTCAATTTCGTTTTGTTGGCCAGCCGTGCAGTTCGCATCCCAGAAATCGCTTCTGAAGTAACTATATTCACTTCTGTGTGTATCTAATACATATGTATGTATCAGAATATTTTGTTTTGGAATATTTATAGCACTTTTATGTATGCCCAGCATGGCAGAAGTCAATACCCTTTGCAATTTTCTAAGAACTCGGAGAGAAATAGCTCCATTTTTGTTCATATCATAAAGCGAACAATACGTTTTTGCTTTTTGCTAAATTAGCGCACTCACACAGCCAACGACACAGACCTGTCCGGCGGCCCTGGGCTGACATCATCTGTGTCGTTCGGGCAGTGTTATCTTTTGTTTGTTCTGTTTAAACAAAGCTCCCTTCACGATAAACGAAAAGGAAAGCGATTTCCACAGAAAAGTGCCCAAACTAATCACTTGCACCCATACCTTACAGCTGACGACATCGAGCAGTTGAATAAATTCTCATGTGGCGGCTACAGTGATGAGTCCACCATCGTCTACTTAGTGCATCCTTGTCGTATTTTATCGGCGCTCGAAGTGAGTAAAATGAGTTGGAATAAAGCATGACTTTTACACAATAACAACATGTACACAACTTACTTTCAGATATTGGGATTTCGCGTTGTGGCCAGCTCATCGACAGCCGTGAAGCAGGACTATAACGAGTATATGTGGACAATGCGCAAGGAGTTCGACGAACCAGAACCCTTGGAGGCCGAGTCGGTTGTGCGCGAGAATCTGTCGAATATTGGCAGGGAGGCAGCCAGCTTAGGCAACTATCATAAGGTGGATTCGCCCGAATAGGCAAAATCATTTCTACCAAAACACAATCTAAAATCAGAAAACAATTCAAAATAGTTGTATAATATCGTGTGTGCGTGACTGTAACTTGTGTGCGTGTATGATTAGATGTATGTGAAGAAAACTATAGCAACGTAGGGAAACTTGTTCCACAACACATTCTGAAGCCTTCCGCACCACAATAAGTGAGTGGAAAAGTGATTATTCCAATCCGAGACCCAAACAAAACTATGAGTGACAGCCAGCCCACGGCAAAGGAGTCGAATTTGAACTGCGAGTGTCCTGCTGCGACATCGACTACATCGGTGAACGCTGCTGCTGCTGCTGCCGCTTGTCCCGCCAATGTTGTGACCATTCCTGTTCCCATACTCCAATCGGAGGGCACTTTCGTATACATCACCGTCAAGGGATCGCTCCACGACTACACCTGTACCATATTCGGGTTGAACCAGGCCGAGGTACAGGCTCTTTCCAAGCGCTTTGACAGCGGCGTCAAGCAGTGTGTGAATGGTATTATGGTGGCAGTGCCGCCCATGGTCATGTTGAATACCTTGGCGCAGCTAAGCTACAAAGTCATCTGCAGTTGCGGTGAGGCCGAGATCTGCTGGACCATGCAACGTGAGGTCTAATCATTTCGCATATCACCCCAATTCGTCATCATCCGCCATCATTCAAGCAAATCATATAAGCAAGGAACTTGACATCGATACTGAACAAACTCCCAAAAGGATTAGGCAAAAATGGATCAGCACAGTGCGGACAACTGCAGATGCCACAAGCAATCGCAACCGGCACAGCAGACGCTTAGCGACATGGACTTTGATCGGGGCATTTGGAATGCAGGTAGGATATATTTGTACTCATTAAATCCAATTACTTAACTCTTCTCCCTAAAGCCATCTATAATGAAGTGGATCGTGTAAGGGACTTCATCAAGAAGGGTCAAGCCATGGCACGAGATGACTGCGACTATACGGCTCTGCATTATGCAGCACGCAGTGGCAACGCACAAATCTGCAAGCTCCTCATTGACGAGGGCAACGTTGATGTGAATGCGGTTACCAAGGCGGGTGCCACAGCCCTTCATCGGGCAGCCATGATGGGTATGATGAATATTATTTTTTAACATCCAATATCCTTTATAATAACCCTGCTTGCATCTAAGGTCATCTGGATATAGTTAAGCTCTTGACTGAACACAAGGCTAATCTTCTGCTGCAGGACGAGTGCGGCCAGAGCGCCCTGCATCGTGCAGCATTGCGTGGGCACCTGGACGTCTGTCGCTACCTACTGGAGCAGCAGTCGACCCTGAAACAGCTCAAGGACAAGAAGGATAAATTTGCATTTGAGTACATCATGGAGAATGCAAATGATGATTTTAAGCTTCTGCTAAAACCCTAAGGGGCGTCATTTCTTTTCCATGAGCTTCAGCACTAGCATCAATGTATTATGTTTTTAGTTTAAGAACAAACAACAAAAGTTAACATTTTCTTTAAAACTCTGTTCTGTTTATTTAGATTTTCCTAAAATTGCATCCGATGTTTGAATTTCTTAAATTAGAATTTTTGTTGGCTAATTTACAATTGCATATGTAATGCCTCTTCTGTCTGTTTTGTTCTGTCAGAGATACAATAGATTGTATTTGGGTGAAAAGTAATCTTAACTTTGGCATAGATAAAAAAATAACCTAGTGCATACATCATATAAATATCTATATAGTCTATATACATACATGCCTAATAAATATGAAATGTGCAATTAATTTAATGTATGTATCTCTCGCAAACAGATACAAGAAGCGAACATTCGTGGGGGGGGGGGGGGGGGGGGGGGATGACACAGTACCAACCATGTAATTCATTGTAAGAAAATATTATCACATTAGAGTTGTGCAAAGAATGTGTTGGTATCTCTGATCGAACTCAGTTAGAAATTTTGCAGAGCCCTAAAATTCTCCTATACAAAAATATAAGACATTGAGAGATAGGCCATATATATATGTATATTTTCCAATATACAAAACTAAAAGCTACATACCCACAAATTTCAAACCTACATCATCTGAAGAAATACTTAATCCCATGACTCTGCCGATCTGTAGACGCGCATGGGTTCACGATCCGCGTCTATGGACCTCACCTTGGCCAACTCATCAAAGTCGCTGAGATATTTCTTTAATATCTCTGGTATATCAAACTCGTCGATGATTATGCCTAGCGTGGATCGATGCGGTCTCGGGAGATATTTCTGCTCCAACGAGTGCCGTATCTGGAGATTCGAAAGAATATTTTTGCGTATCGCCAGACGAGCGGTGGACTTAAGGGAGCGCGGGTTGGTTACATGCAGGGACATTTCCCTTTCAAGTTGCTGTCGAGGCGCTGACCAATTGTTGGGTGGCAATCGCTTATTGAATGGCAGCTGGAATCCGGCGTTGTCTTGGGGGTAAAAGTCTTGGTTAAACACAAAATCGAAAAAAATTGTGCTCCAGATTAAAACTTACACAGCAATCGTCCGAAGGCCACGCTCCGTTGAGAGCAGTTGGAGCGCAGTTCGCTGACCACATGCTCCGGACAAATCTGTGCAAGATTGCAGCCCTCGTGAATGAGGAGCTCGGCCAGGTCCAGACGGTGGAGGTTAATGGCTCGCGACAGCGGAGTCTGACAATAGATTAGACCGCAGACTATGGTCGGAGCACACGAGCCATACAGATCTGTACGGGCGCTGGCCAGCCTAGCCAACAGCACTCTAAGGACGGCTCGCAGATCGTCGACGTGGAGGGCATGCTGTACGGCGAATAAGACTAAGCCCTCGTCCTGGGCATTCATGTACAGGCCCTGACGACGATGTTGCTCGGCCACGTCCAGCAGATAGCCCAGCATCTCCGACTGCTGATTATAGATGGCCACCATGATGGGTGTGTGGTTGTCGCTGTCCCGCACTGAGAGACTGTCTCCATAGTGCAGCAGAATCTCCACCAACTTCCGATTATTGTGTCCAACGGCGAGATGCAGGAGATGCTGTGAGGCCAGACGCCGAGCTCCACGTTCGAGGAGAAGCTTCGCCATATCAGTGTGGCGTCCCCTGACTGCAAGCATCAGAGCCGTTTGGTTTTCCTTATCCTGAATATTGATGTGAGCGCCCCGCTCGAGCATTTCTTTGGCCAGTACTGTCATGCTGCAGGCAATGGCCGTCATCAGGGGCGTCTCGCCCAAGTCGTCGGTTTCGTTGATGTTGATGTTCGTCTGGAGCAGCAGCTGGGCAGACTCCTTCGACTTGCTTTCGATGGCCAAGTGAAGCGCCGTCTTGCCGTCGCTCAGGGTCTTAGCATTGACCGGAGCTCCGTGCTGGATGAGCAGCCGGGTGACCTTGGGGAATCCGGCACCCAAATGAAGGGGACCGTAGCCATCGCTATTCACCACATTGATCGGCGCATTGTGTTCCAGCAGTATCCGGACGCACTTATCGTGCCCCCAAAAGGCTGCATAGTGCAGGGGCGAGGTCAGACAGGCATCGCACACATGTGGATCCTGCTCGCGGCAACTGGCGCAGCATTGGGCCACAAACTCCCCCATGCTCTCCAAGGTCTTGGCATAATACTGATATAGCACACTGTCCTCGCCTCCTGCTCCAGCAGCCGACTGTCCACTATTCTCCGCGCAGCTCTCGAACTCGTCCACCCACTCAAGCTTCTCCATGCCTTCGGGTGTGCTCTCGATCTCCAGGCTATCCGTATGTGCTGCAATCGTGGAAACAATTCTTTGTTTAATTGAATGCCGAAATACGTGAAATACCAGCACCACTGGTGCTTGCCAACACATCAGCTACTCTGTTCTGTTATGTATGTTCTTATCTGAGGCTAGAGAACCGGTTTGGTTCTAGATATTTCATGTCAGGCACGTCTTTGCGCTGCGCATGCATTTCGTTTACCATTCGAAATGGGTTGGGTCGCCCTACTGCATGTGGGTCAATGGCAAGCGTGATGCCACACTAAGTAGGTAATTTAGGTAGCCGGAAGGAACTGTAGTGCTAGCTGCTTTGGTAGCAACCAATGTGAGGAGGGGACAGCTGGATATTCTTCCAATCATCCCTATGATTCGGATAACAATGCATTCTCAAACTGGTTTTCCACAAATTCCACCTTCCCATATACAGCACCTATCGATTTTCTGTGTTGGCCAGCTGTTTACCTGAGGACAAGTTCATGGCGGGGCAGAAAACTCACTCTGACGGAACACATCCAGTTCCGGCTGCTCGCAGGACTGCACCAGGAGCTCCAGCAGCTCGGCATCGCCCAGCAGAGCAGCCGTGCCGACGGCCGTGCGTCCGCAGTTTGGTGATACATACGAGGCCTGCGCCCCATGCATGATACAGTTAAGGGCCTGCTCAATGTCCCCGCTTTGGACAGCACTCAGCAGCCGCTCGTTGATGTCGTAGGATAGCATATTCCCATTGGTTTTTATGTGAAATTAGTAGTTAGTTTTAGTTATAAACTAATAGAAAGCGGCTGAGCCAAGCAAAACGCGAAGCGAAAAAAGAACAAACCAAAATAAGCTGCCGTGAGTATGTGTGAAAAATGCGTTTCCGCCGTCAACAGCTGCAACACTCCCCCGGAAAAGCGCACGAAAAACTAAATCCAAACAATCCAAGTGCGCACGTGCGAGGTCCACGTCAAGGCAGCCGAAACGCAAACACACCCCCATAACGAGTGCCATGGGAGAGAATAAAAGAGAACTCAGCTGGGGTTCGCTTTCACGCAGATACAATGCTGGAAAGAGTGTATGGATTTATTTTGGTTATCAGTAGTGTATGCATACATCTCTACGGCTGCCGTCGGTGACTCGACTCGCTTTATGTCTAAAACGTATTTTAATCTACTTGATTTCCTTGGCTTCCTTGGCATTCTGCAGCGATTCGGTGATGAATAGTTTGGCCAGCGACTGAGAACAGAATTGGGCAATGTGCTGCGAGTGTGTGTTGATCTGTCCAGAAGTGATTGTGGCCGTAAGCCTGGCCGGCACGGGCATGGGGCGGAACTGCTTGATGACCTCCTCCTCGGCCACCGTCGGCTCACCCTTGGAAGTGCGCACAGCGTTTTCGGCGGCCAGTTTAGCCAGAGCACGGTTTTTGTCCTGGAAAATAAAGTACGAATATAATAACACAACACCTTTTCTTGCTTTTTGCTGGTGAAATTCCTTACCGAATCCTGCTTGAACACCACTTGCTGGTACTTGTTATAGCGCACGGCCTCCTGGTACAGTTCATCGACGCGCTCAATCAAGCTCCGCATGTGATTCTCCAGCACTGAGGCGGTGCCCAGATCCAAGAAATTGTGCCCTTTGTCCTCGGGAAGCAGCTCATTTAGCTCGCTCATCATGATGTTAGTCAATGGTGAGTTCTTGATCACGATTGGAATCTCTGCAAACAGACTTTCGTAGCCCACCTTCAGCGTACGGAATGCCTCGGGAGTGAAGTCGCCATCCTTGTACATCTGTATGGCCTGAGGCGTGAGCCGGTAGGCCTTCAGGCAGAGGAAGCCCCGCGCGGACTTCTGCGTATCGTAGACCACGACCACGGACTCCTCGATGCTGGTCTGATAGTGATACTGGGACTCGAGAAGAGCCAGCGACAGACTGTTTCCCACGTCCGAGCTCTGATACCAGCCCACATGCAAGTGATCAACGTTCACGCGGCGCAGGCGTCGCATCACGGTCAGCTGGTACATCTCCTCGTCCATAGTCTCGTCGCCGCTCTTGGGGAACGGGAAGCAGTTTGTGATTTCGAGGCACTTGTCCACCACCAAGCCGAGCAGGGCGCCCTGGGCCAGATCCATATTGCTGGACTCCTCATGGCAGTGCTTCACCATTTTCATGACGGCCTGTGCGGAGAATTTCTCTTATTAATTGCAAAAACCATGAATTTGTCACTCTCCCACACACACCCAGAAACGCGCTCACACATACACACGCTTAGCCAGCGCGTGGCATCAAATTATGCCTTTCCTTAAGCACGTTTCTGGGAGTCTTTTCAGGCGAACATTTGCCGAAGTTATTATTTTTCATTTAACTCACCAAACCGTCGCATTGTACATAGTTTATGGTATTATCTGAATCCTCTGTGCGAGCATGACGACCACCGCGATTTGCCATTTTGACGACGAGAAGCGAAAAGACCAGGGCAGAGCTGTGAAAAAAATATTGTCTTATCAATATACCGATATATACCAATATATCGGTATATGTATGAAAATATATTTGCAGGTGATGTTTTTGGGACTTCGAAAATATTAATATGGGTATTTTTGGATATGGCTATCCGAACCACTTTACTTTTTTGAATTTCAAGCCAACTGACACTATTTTCCTGTTGCTTAACGTCGTTAGATCAGATAGCCGTCTTCTGATTCCCCTCATCGATGCACAGCATAGGGCTTAGCTTTCTAGATTCCTCTTTCCTCCCCCACCGTGTCAAAATAACGCTTTGCTAGATCTGAAAATCGAAAAATCTCGGTTTTGAGTTTTGAAAGTAGTTGATGTTCTTGTAATCGGAATCCCTATCAAGGATCAAGGTTATTTTCTCCAGTCATATATATCCGGTTTTCTCAGTTATTTGTGGTTTTATCTGGCCATAGGTACCTTTAATTCAGAAAAATATCCTTATCTTTGATTTTGTTGGAGTTAGTTTGTTTTTTTTTTTTACATAATTTTTGAATCCGCTTAAATAGTTTTCGAGATTTGAAAATCTACGTTTTCTCTCAAACGATATATAGATGGTACAAAAAAACATCAATCTATCGCACAATTTCAAAACAGTCGATATTATCGATGGTTTTGCAGCCCTATTGTAAGTTGTTTATCACACAAAAAACTAAAAAAGTATTTCCTAATAATCAAAAGTACTACGCTCGTCACGAAGCGGTGCTGATAGCAGCTGCGAGCGTCAGTTCACTTAAAGTATAGCACCGAAGTTTCTGTTCTGAGGTAGTAGTAGTAATTAGCAACGCAACGCTGGCAAGCCCAAGACGTCGAAGATGTCGACTAATTGGCGTGAATTGTTCCCCACTCGACTTACATTCATCATATTTCTGCTGTATATGTCACTGTTCATAGGACAGGGTACGTGGCCAAATTGCCTATCTCAGCCAAAGCCACGCTCAAGTTTCTGCATCTCTCTTCTCAGGCATCTTTGTCACAGCATCCCAGGAGTCTAACAACTCGTACGGCTATAACACTGTAACCGTTGTACTGCTCACGGAAGTGTTCAAGTTAATAGTTTCCACATGCCTGTATTGCAGAGAGTGAGTAGTGTGTGATAAGCGGCTGGAAGCCAACGTAAATTTATCGTGTTCCTTCCGCAGCAACAATCTGCGGTCTCTGGTGCGCGATGTGCACAAAGACAGGAATGTGCTGGCCTTGTACATGGTGCCCGCATTCCTATACTGCCTCTACAACAATCTCGCGTTCGTCAATCTAGCCACATTCGATCCCACAACGTATTATCTACTACTCCAACTGCGCGTTGTCGTAACGGGCATTCTATTTCAAATCATATTCAAGAAGTATTTATCTCAACGCCAATGGATATCGCTGATACTGCTCACCCTCGGCTGCATGCTCAAGCAGGTCGATTTTAGTGGCTTTTACAGCGATGCCAACGACGACAGCGAGTCTGCTGCCATACAGGCCATACCGTCCAATAGCAACCACAGCCTCACCGTTGACCATAACCAAGTGCGTGGCAAAAATATGTCTGGCTTTGATTTTAGCCTAAGTGCTGTGTTCATACTGGCCCAGACCATATTCTCATGTCTTGCGGGGGTCTACAACGAATACCTACTAAAGGACAAAGGTGCAGATGTCAACATTTTCGTCCAGAATGTGTTTATGTACCTTGACTCGATTGTTTGCAATGCGGGTATCCTTCTCCTGCGCGGCGAGTTGATGGACGCCTTCAGCCCACACAACTTGGGTACCATTATGCGCTTCGGTGTTATCATCATCATTGTGAACAATGCAGCCATTGGCATTGTGACAAGCTTCTTCTTGAAGTACATGAACTCTATTCTGAAGACTTTTGCAAGCGCCCTGGAACTGCTTTTCACAGCTGTGCTGTGCTACTTTCTGTTCTCCATACCCATCTACATGAACACCGCACTGGCCATAGCGGTTGTCTCCTATGCCATCTATTTGTATACCCAAAGTCCGGTTGTAAATCTGGGCAAGGTTCGTCCATTGTCAAGTCTGAGCGAGGCATCCTCCAAATCTACAGCCTATGACAAACGAAAGCTTCTCGACGAGGAGGGTGACACCGATCTGGAAATGGACATGGTGTAGTGCTAATTGCTAGTCCTAGACATAGACTCAAATTGTAAATATCGTCATCTAACTATACTTCTTGTGGAAAAGTGCCTATAACTCTTTTGAAAAGACGCGAGCATGCATTTGACTCTAGGCTTCGTGCAATCGACGCAGATTCAATCATCGACGGACAGACAAATGTCTTGTAAATACCAAAGCATTTGCTTTATTGAGTTAGGTTCATAATAAACATATATTTTTTAAATCGTAATGTGATTCTCTCTTATCGAATATGGTGGTTCTTCATACACAGTATGTTCCTTTTATTTTTAATTATGACATTAGAAATTTTTTTGATGAAAAAGAATATACTAATATTGGTGCACATTAGCTGTTCATCGATAATTTGTACATGGATTGTACGTTTGTTTCTTAAATAATGAAATATTAACAATATTCGTTCACATAATGCTCTCCATATAGCTTAAATAGTGCACAAAAGGCAAATCATAGAAAGATTAAAGTTACAACAATAAGACATTTTGTCTATACAGTATCTTCATCTGTAAGAACCGATGTCCCGTGAATCGTATTGGCTATACAGTATGAATCAGCTATGTATGAATTAGTCTCAGTAAACTTCATGTAGTCCTCACATTCTTTCAGATGCTCTTCCATGTCGAGCACGCGGTGTGTGGCATTGTATTTGCATGTGTGCAATGGCGGACCGCGGTAATTTTGCATACATTTTACAATGTGTCCTGGCATGCGGAAGAGCATAATGCGATGGTTTTTATTATACGGGCAAGTGCCGAATAAATAGTTAGACATTTTGAACTCTGAAAGTTACAAAAATAAGAGGTATTTGACGTAATTATAGATAAACTAATCTCTGTCTACCAAAAGTTTAAAGTTCCGCTATACTTGTGGTAGAGATGACAAAGCTAAACTGAGTATTATGTTATCGCTACTACTGGATGCTTGTGCCGTTACTTGCTGAAATATCAATGGTATTCTTCCACTGAATATAATATATATATATAATATATATATATATATATATATATATATATATAATATTTCTATGATGGAATAAGATGGAACTTGAATACAAATAAGTCGTCAGTATTTTAACGGTATATTTGGCAATTCGTGATATATGGTATATTTTACCAATGGGTCCGCGGTCACACTCTTTGTATCATTCATCCACAATTTTCGTACAGTTGTTTTTTTCGATCAGGAAAGAAAAGTCTTTTGAATTATAAAAATAATTCCACTTTCGATACTTTAATTTAAAATGGCTCGTACTAAGCAAACAGCTCGCAAGTCCACTGGTGGAAAGGCTCCACGCAAGCAGCTGGCCACCAAGGCTGCCCGTAAATCCGCCCCATCCACTGGTGGCGTAAAGAAGCCACATCGCTACCGTCCAGGTACTGTGGCGCTGCGTGAGATCCGTCGCTACCAAAAGAGCACAGAGCTGCTCATTCGCAAGCTTCCATTCCAGCGCTTGGTGCGTGAAATAGCCCAGGATTTCAAGACTGATTTGCGTTTCCAGTCTGCCGCCATTGGCGCTTTGCAGGTAAGAGGATTTCTGGGCGGGTGTGTGGGGTATTTCAGGATAATCTTGTAACACCGCCATTTGCAATTGCAGGAGGCTTCTGAAGCGTATTTGGTGGGTTTGTTCGAAGACACCAACTTGTGCGCCATTCACGCTAAGCGAGTTACAATCATGCCAAAAGATATCCAGCTGGCTAGGCGTATCCGCGGCGAGCGCGCCTAAATGCGTCATCCGCCATTTTTGATTATAAAAGCGGTGACGGCGGCGACGAAGGTAAAAGAATCAGTCCTGGAGCCGACAGCCGCCGATGCCGCATAGTTTGTCTAAGATATGTCAATACTTATCTATAAGTAAAGATCGGAAGGAGAAATAATAAGAAATGTACTTCTTTTTTTTTTTGAAAAACTGCTCCACTTTTAAATCAGTTTATTTCTTTGTTATTACGATAGCTTAGTTGGTTGGGGTGGGGGAGAAGATAAGAAGAGACAAATGGAACATTTATTTAAAGACTATGGTATCCAGCATGGCTCCTAGGCACTGCACAATATTGTTCTGCATGACCTTGTCCACCTTCTCCTCCAAATGCCGTTTGGGATCCTGTTTGCCAACGTTTTTGATTGCCAGCTGTTCCGGAGTCATTTTCTCCTCGTCTTCAAGGGACTGAAAGCGATAGAAAGACAATTGATACAATACAAACGGAATGATACATTGGTCTCAAAATAAAAGCAACCTTGTTGTAGTTCTTGGCCAGATCGAGCATCTCTGCGACAGTATCCTCGTTTATGGAGCAATGATCGTTGTAGTCTGAAAGTGTCAGACCATCCTTCCACGACTTTTTATGCAAGTTTAAGAGCATCTTCTGCTCCAGCTCGTTCTTGCGATAGTTGATGCTAATTGAGTAGTAGTGACGGTTGAGTCCGTGTATCAGTGCCTGCACGGAAGGCTTCTGCAAATGTCCAAGGTTGGAGGTAGTCTGGCGCGGCTCCTGGCCCAGCACCAGCATATTCGGGTTTATTAGGCGGAATGCATCAATGACCACTTTGCCCTTAACGGACTGTATGGGATCGACGACAACGGCCACGGCGCGCTCGGAGAGCGCCTCGAAGGACTGCTGGGTATTTATGTCCACGCCGGACAACCAGCAGCCGAAGCCAGGATGCGAGTGATACCAGCCCACAACCATCTCCGGGCGACCTGTCTGTTTCAGCATGTCCAGCATCTTGGCCTGGAAAACGGGATCCACAGCCTCCACGGACACTCCGGTGCCAGTCTGGGGCATGGCAAACACATCAATGACCTGCACAGTGTAGTCATCCACGAACTCGCCCAGCATCAGACCCATCACTTCCATGGGGACACCGGCACGCCCGTGCTTCAGCATTTTCAACAGCGCCAGCGAAGAGATGTAGACCTGTTCGGCGGTGTCCACCACGGGAGCATCTGTTGGTGGGGCGGCTTGTGGCATAGCGCCACCGAGACGAAGCAAACGGTCCATAATACGGCTGTCGATTCGACAAAAAGTGAGTGTAATAACAGCACATTTATGATGATTCACGTCGCTTACCTTTGAGGTTTGAGGATAGCGTATACTTTAAGGGTTACTTTAAGTTATTTGTTTTATTTCTACGTGAAATTTGCTTTCCCACAACAACAAAATTCAAAGCAACTCGTTCTGTAAAAATGCAAGTAATCTAGAGCTCAGTGTGACCGCGAATTTATCGTTAAAATATACCGTCCGACACTCAGAATATACCGTCTCATTTCAAAAATATACTGACGACTTCAAAGGGGCTCACCCTGATTGGTATACCATCGAAGCTCCAATTTTGCCGAATAACATTCTGAATCTGCTCCATCTACTGAACATAACATCACGTACATTTCCCGTTGGCTCATATGTCGATCCAAGTACAGTAATTTAAGTACATGGAATGAAACTCGTTGTTGCCTACCGGTTCAAAGAGAGCCTTACCCGATTCAAGTTCGGTTATCGATACTATCGACTGGAAACGGGTGGTGCACGTCAAATATAAATTTTTCAAAAGTGATTAGGTTTACACTAGAAGCATCTCATAGGATATTACTGACCTCTTCCATCGCCAGCCGGCCTCCACTGGTAGCTTACATTCTTGCCTTTCATACAAATTTTAGGTTTTTACTGACTTTATTTGTATATGAACACTAAACAGTGTACCCGTAGTGCATGTACATCTGGTCTTACTCTGCCGCTAGCAAATATGTGACATTTTAGACGGTGCAAAATTTATTTTTTCTAAGTACTAGGCTGTTATTAAAAAGAATAACGTTAAATAATTGCAATACGACCGTTGAGTGCATGCAGGCGTTGCCACTTGAGTGATTCGTTGCGAGCAAACTTTCCGCAACGCAAGACCAAACACATCAAAATTTATGCACCATCGTGGCTGCCCGTCAAATGCCATGAGAAATACCCGGGTAATGAGGTCGCCGGCAAGACAACGATTTAAAGTTAGTACAATGCATTTTGCCGTCTTTATTGTGCCAATTAATTGCACAAAACATTTTGATTTTCCGTTGCCTTTCACCCAGGGCCGAGCCCCATTCATAGAGCTCGACTGGAGATTCCCAGACGCCCGAAAAATCATTTAAAATGCCATCACCGGGCGGCAAAGTCAAAGGTGGCCGCAGATCAGGCACTGGCCCAGGCACAGCCTCATCCCGCTCTAGGTTTGCTTTATAATTGCAACATTTGCTACTCCATTTTCCGTCTCGCTTTGGTAACAATAGCTTTTCCATCTGCCGACAACATTTTCCATTTGCCTCTGAGCTGATCTGCTCCGTGGCGGCTTTTCAGTTGCATTTTGTCGCTCAGCGTCAGCACGCGGATGGCTTTACATTTAACTATTTCGATTTGGGTTTACTTAGCCAACAGTTCTGTGTTGTATTTGAAAAGTTGTTAAGAGTTTATGTAACTATTTGTATGTAAATTGCGTGTAAATATTTAAGTTTCAAGCGAATCGAAATAAGGTATATTAACGTACAAGTTCTGCCCTCTGAAAGGTGGCAAATTTCAGCTGGGTTGTTATTTCGTATTCGTGTTGATTTCGTTGGTGGTTCCTTATCAGAATAGAAACACGGCCGCAAATTGTTTTTGTTGATAAGTGAACGGCAGAAAACTACGGGTAGTCGGGAGCTTTTTAGGGGGAATATTTCGGGTGTGAAACGTGACATATGATTACAGTCGAGCTTCCCTAGAACAAACTGTGTATCTATGTATATGCTCGGGACAATACATGAACAATGCAAAGCTACTCAGAAAATACTAGCTTTAAATATTAAGTTTTACGTTTAAGATCAGATGCAGATCAGGTACAGATATACATATTAATCAGTTCAGGTTAACTTGAGCTATATAGATTTGATTTGGAATGTAGAGTTAACGAATTTCGACAGTTTTTCGAGTGGAAACGTGACATTTGCTGACTTGGCGCTGACTTGAGGGTATTGCCATTCACAGTGATCAAAAGAAATAAACTCGCACCGTTTATCATTCAATAAATAAGTTCATATCTCACAACTGAAACGCTATCATTGACCTTGTCATCATAAAAATTAATCCAGTTGAAAGAAATGCTGTTAAATGCATTCAATCTCATTAATGGCATGCCACTACAAAAAACTAAAAACAAATTGAAGCTGAAAAAGAGAAAAAAACACGTTTGTTCAGCTGTGAAATTGACCTTTTATGGCCCCAGACTACCAAAGCCTCCAAAACAGAAAAGTTTGCTTTGGGCTGCCTCCACACTTGTCTTGTTGCCGCTGAAGCTATTTTTAAAAGCAATGAGCGGAAATACTTTACAATGATAGTGGCTCTAATTGCCAGAGAAAGACAAAGACCGGGACAGAGAAGAGGCAATAATAAGGGTCAACTGGGTAAAACATTTGTTTGGTGTTTTTGGTGGTTTTGTGGAACACTTTAATGTAACTTACATCTTTGATCTTTTGGGATCATTGTAAAGACCTCAATTTAAAGGTGGGAATAAGGGACATAAATTAAATTTATTTTTATTTTTTATTGTCGAACTGGAAAAAGCTTGAAGTATTCTCAGATTGCCTACCGGTCCGGCAAGGCGTTTTATAGTCCTAAAATTACTATATTTAAGGATGACCTGGCGGTCCTATAGTTAGATCATCATCGGGACCTATAAGTTTTACGAGCAGTAAATATGTGGTCGCTCTGTTTCAGTTTTCGGCTAACTCGAAAGCTCTGGTTGCATGGTGTAACTAGAACGGGGCAAGTCAGACCCAGCCAGGTGCACAACCACAACCACAACCAAAGATCTTCAAAACGAATTTCGTAATTATTTCCAGAAAAATAATGCATTATTGCTTAGATGGGAACGCCGAACTTCATATACCTTTAAATAAAAGCCGATTTAGCTATTTTATAAAGACATCGGTTCAAAGTATCAAACATGACATAATTATTGAAATTTCTAAATTGGGTTTTTTAATGTCCCCGTTTGGGGGTGCCTGTTGATAAAGGAACATGGATGATATGGTGGATCAAATGCAACAGAAGTGTTTGGTAGGTTTGAGTGCATTACAAACATCAAAGCTAAACTTGAATACCCTCTGGAAGGGAACAGAAACCGAAACAAAAACTGAGAGTTGCATGTCTGGGAAACTGCTTTAATTTCACTTTTCATTTTAGATCTGCCCAGCAAATCAGTGCAATTGCTGGATGGATAGGTACGAAAGGTGCACAGAAAGAGCAAATAATAATTATTTGTTGGCTAAAGAAAGTTTTAATTAGCGGACGAGCATTTAACATAATGAAGTCGTTTATGTGAAGCATTCAATTATAAAATTGCTCAATTTTCGAAAGTGCAACAAATCAGGGGGAATTAACTCAAGCTCGATTTGCATTCGGTTAATTTTTGCATTTCACTTTCAGATTATGACGTCACTACTGTCCATGGAGACGTCATCGCCAGCATCCGAGCAGCGGGAGCCAGAGGAGGAAGACTCCCACTCGACATCTACAACCCCCACACGAATCCCCCATCCTGCGGTTTCATTCCATCGTTCCGCCTCACTGCGCCTGCGCGGAACCAAAGAGCAGCTTGGCGTGGATGCCATGCGGCCTGCCGGCGGAGGTGGATTCAGTACGCGCGCCAAGCTCGGAGCCAGTCCATCAACCACGTTCGGCTCGCGCTCCGGTCCTATCCACTTGAGGCGTAATCGCAGCTGGAGCAATTTAGGCCACAAAACGTCGTCCAAGCAGGAAGCGGATGCAGTCCATGCATTATGCAGCGCAACCCAGAGTATGTCCCTAGCCCAGGAGGCGTCCACTGACGTCCCGGACGGCTTGGAAATGGCCAACAACATGACCAGCAGCAGCAGGTCGCGTAATATGGTAAGTTGTGGGTGGTTCGGTTTTATATTGATTTTCGCTTTCCGCTGCTGACCTATGTACCGCACTGAGAACCTCCCGGTGAGGACGGTGTATCACGCACTCGTAGTTGAAAGTAAAATAGATATTGCGAAGCTACTTTGGGGAAGAGCCTTTGTGGTAATTGAAGTAAGACGCAATAGGCTTACGTATGCATTCAACCGTTTTACAATTTTATGATTAGTTTACCTGTCGACTGAGGGATCGTCCTGTGCTCCGAGCACTTCTGGGTTTGACTTACAGTTGTATGAGTACTGCATGAAGTCTATTGAGCAATGCGGGCTGAGCATTTACACAGAGCGATAGAAAGGTCATTCGCATAGATGTCAAAGAAGAAGGTAGCAAGGTAGCTGTTCTGACAGTTTTATTATACATAGTCCTATTATTCAAGGATGTTTGACTTCTACTACTCCTACTATTCAAGGATGTTGGACTTCTAGTGGTCAAAGTACCGCTCACAGTTATTAATAGCTTTCAGTTTATTATTTTCCAAGTGTAATAAGAATTGATTTCCGAGTAAGACTTTGCTTAGACTTTCGAGGGCCATTGAAGTGGACTGTCTCCCTTTGTATGCCAATTCAAGTTTTAGATAACTATCTACTTTCTTAACATGATTCCTTGATCTCAGTTGTACAGAAGCGCCCTTGAGATAATAAACAATGGTTAACTTTCAGTTCTAATGGTTCTTCTAAAATTGTATATTATTTTGTTGAATTTTCAAACTCTTGAATCTTCAGAGATTAAAGGAGCGACCAATGGCATTACGGTGACAAGCTGGACTTTGGCAATGACGTGCAGCTTACAGTTGGCGAACCAGTGCTTGGCCAACACTTCCTCCCTCCTTCCTTCTCCTGTAATCCGTAGCGCAAGCGAACGAACGAACCAAACGCAAACCCCCCTCAAGCTGGCTTTGCATAATGCTTGGGGGAGAACAAAAAAGCAAACAAACAGTGGACTCATCTCACCACACCACCACTCACCTATTGGGTGGAGGCGGGCATATGTTTCGTTTCCACTTCCGCCTGTTCCGTTGCCAAAGTGTACCGAGGAAACAGCTGATACTCTGGGGTTTGTTTGTGCTTGTGCTGCTTATGCGGCGGGGGTTGAGAAAGGGAAATGCAAGTGCGCAGCCCCACTCTCTCTCTCCCTCTTGCACTCTTAAGCGGCTGGTACTGCTGCTCCCAGGGTTGTTGTTGCTGCTGTTTGCTTTT